ATCACATGTTCTCACTTATTGGTGGGAGCTAAAAATAAATACCTAAATTCACACACACACAAAAAAAAAAACGGGGAAGAAGACATAACAATTACAGTTCGTTGAAGTTGATACGACAAGAGAACAGAAAGGACATTGTTGGGTGGGAGGGGGGAGAGGGAAGAGGGAGGAATGTTTCAGTAATGGGCCACAATAATCAACCACATTGTATATCGACAAAATTAAATTAAATTAAATTAAAAAAAATAAATGATGTTGCAGGAGCCAAAAAAAAAAACAAAATCATTTTTCCTCATGACATACATACATTGCTGCTTTTAACGTTTCATCCTTATTCTAATCTCTTCCGTAACATTTCAGTATTGACAACTGGTTCTCTTCCCTGCAGGAGAACCAGCAGGGGCAGTACTGTGGGTCCAAAATTATTTTCCCAGCAGGTGACTTAGCCATTTAGTCACTGGAGCCTTGTGACTTCCAGGCAGGTGATTTTCCCACCTCCGAAATCCACCTGTATCATCCATACAAGAGGGTGTGCACACATGCACAAGTGCGTGTGCAAGTGTGTGTACTCAGGTGTTTGCTTTGGAGCAATGAGGTGGGGAGCTCCACGGGTAGCATGTGGTCTGTAGTGCAAAGTACACGTGTCTGGCTCTCAACCGTCTGGGTCTCTTCCTAATTTTCCCTGCATAACCTGAGCAGGTTGAAGACCCTTTGGGAGCCCCATGGGATGTAAAATAAGGAAGGAGTCAGACCCCTGCTGCCCTGTGACCTAGACATTCACAAGCACCGTATCAAAGCGATTCTGTGCTCATCCTTATGTTTTTCTTTTTCCACAGAGGTCTCATTGCCAGCGGTTTCACAGAAACCCACTATCTGCAAGACGGTACCGATGTCTCCCTCACTCGAAATTACACGGTAATTCCTGCACATTTGTATCACCACAATACTGTGCTGTCGAATCTGTCCTTAGCCTTTGTAGCTGTTTTGTTCTGAGCAGAGTCACATGCCCATATTCTCTCCTTAGGCCCCAGGGGACGCTGCCCTCTGAGGACCGGGAAGTCACTTGTTTTAATGAGCCATGGATATTGCTTTAAAATGAATGACTTCAGAGGCAAGCTTTTCATTTATCAGAGAACAATTGCCAAGTAGCTGTTCTATTGTCTGCAGTGATTTTTTTCTCCTTCTGCATTATGCCAACACTTTTCCTAATCACAAGTTTGGCACTTGGCACTCACAAACTAATACCTTCAGTCTCCCAGGAACACCGTGGAATGAGCTGCTACAGTTCCTCCAGCCCCCTAAAAAACACAGAGAAATCCTGGATAAAATATAAGCATATGAGAATTTGTATTAATACCTGGTCAAACTTAAAAAAGAGTCAGAGAAATCCTCAGGAGGCAGAAACAAAGATGAGAAGTTAGCCTAGAGCATTGACTAGTGAGTTGGAGCCGTTAAGACCCCAAAGGACTATTCAGGAGCCCGAGAGAGGGCCTGCCAGGTGCCTGGGTTTGAACAAGAGAGGTGGGTGCCTGCAACTGAGAATCCCCCAAAAGCTGGATCCCCAGGAGAGCTGCTTTCTCTGTGCAAAAGAGACATAAAGAACTCTTCTGGGCCAGGGAAGGGGCAAGAAAGAGAATTGTCTGCCAGGTGTCGTGGACTGAAAAAAGATTTTATAAAACAGAGAGAAATTGAAACCCCAGCCAGCCTCATGTGTGTGTGTGTGGGGGGGGATGATCTGGGCCCATGTCCATATTTTTAATACCAGCATAGGAATACCAGCAATGGAATTCCTAGTCAAGACATTGACCTCAAAACTGGTTGCTAATCAGTGAAATCCCCATGGGCCCAGGTTGAAGCTGATCCAAAATTATTCCGTAGGTATATTTCTACAGCCCAAATTGTGACATGCCTATATAAAAAAAAGTAATAATGAAAATATTAAGATGAGCCCAAAATCAAAATTACAAACCACACAGTGAAAAAAGCCACTGTAGGGCCAGCCCCATGGCTCACTCAGGAGAGTGCGGCACTGGTAGTGCCAAATCAAAATTACAAACCACACAGTGAAAAAAGCCACTGTAGGGCCAGCCCCATGGCTCACTCGGGAGAGTGCGGCACTGGTAGTGCCAAGGCTGTGGGTTTGGATCCTATATAGGGATGGCTGGTGCGCTCGCTGGCTGAGTGTGGTGCAGACAACCTGGCTGAGTGTGGTGCAGACAACACTGTGCCGAGGGTTGCAATCCCTTTACCAGTCAAACAAAACAAAACAAAAACAAGAAAAACCACTGTAAGCAAGCATCAGCAAACAGGAGAAGTGAGAATTAGTACCTCTGAGAATAAGGGACAATAGAAAAATTTTTTTAAAAATTTAAAGAGGACAGAATAGGTCTAATAGAAAGTCCACAATGAAAGTACATCCCACACACACACACGCACACACATGGAAAAAGCAATGTTTAAACAGAATGTGATGAGAATATCCCTGAATTAAAGAAAAACATGAAGAAAATCTGCCAAGTCGCAAGCAGGAAAAATAAAAATACACACACACCAGGATGGCTTATAATAAAACCGCAAAACACCATAGATGAAGTCTTAAAACCACCTGAGACAAAAGAGAGGCTGGTAGAAAATAATGACAATTAAACCAACAGCAGACTTCTCGCTCGCAACTATGGAATGAAAACTGCAGAGAGCTAAGGGAAAATTATTGTCCACCTCAATTCTATACTCAAAGTATTTTATTTTTAAAAAAAGAGTAAAATAGAGATGTTTTCATACAAAGAGAATTTATTACTCTCAGATCCTAACAAGAATCTCTCAGTAGGAAGGAAATTGAATGGAAGAGGTGAGGGTAGGATGTCAGAGGCCCTAGAAAACAAGATAATGCACGTGAACAAATCTAAATAAACTGTGTCAAATAATAATTATAACCATAACGACTAAATTTGGGTGGTTTAAAACAAGGTAGGTAAATAGATTTAAAGCAGTTTAAGAATTTGTATTGTACTAAAGAATGGTAGACATACTGATTAACTTTAGATTTTGATAAGTAAAGTATGTATCCTACAATTTTAAGGATAACCATTTAAAGAAGAGAAAAACAGAATGTACAATTTCAAATATTAGAGGGTAAATAAAAATAATATATCAACCTAGTACAGGGCAGAAAAAGGATCAAAATAGAAGCAGAATAAATATAAAACACAAAGTAAGAAGATAAAAATGTGTCAGCATGTTGATCCCATTATATATAAATAGATTGAATGTATCTGTTAAAATGAAAACAGACTGCTTAGAATTTAAAATAAAATCCAGCTACATAATTTTTACAAGATTCACACCCAAAATACAAAAGAGTTAGGAAAGGAATGGAAAAGACAAATCTTAATCCAAAGAAAACTGCTGTAGTAGTATTGACATTAAACAAGCTAGACCATAAGGAAAAAAAGGAATTATTAGGACTAAAGGGGTTATTATCTAGTGGTAAAAGAAACAATTCAAAAGGATGGTAAAGAACTATAAAACTACATACCAGCAAAATAGTCT